AGGGCGAGCAGGAGCAAAGGATGAGAACGCGGAGGACGGACGGACGGACGGACGCTCGCGTGCGCGCCGGGGCGCGGTCCCTCTGGGAACGGAGCGGTGGCGCCGTGGCGCCAGGATACTGTGGTGTATGGTAAAGCATGCATTCGAGACACATAACAAATTCGGTGCATCAGAGGGGAGGGAGGGAGGAGGGAGAGGCATCCTTGTTGTCGGAGTCGTTGTGTGCGTGTCGTGGATAGTGATGCCGTCGTTGATGCTTCACACTCGTATAGTCACATGGCAGTCTCAAGTTTGGGAGCTGGAATCGGAGCCAGAGTCGGAGAGATGGGATCCAGGAGTGCAGCCGGAGTCGGAGAAATGAGATAGGATGGAAGCTGGAGTCGAAAAAATGGGAGCCAGAGTCGGAGCCGGGGTCGGAAGGATGTGAGCCGGGGTCGAAACGGGTGTCGGAGAGATGGGATCCGGCGTCGGAGCTGGAGTCAGAAAGATGGGATGGGATAGTCTGAAATTTGGGAGCTGGAGTCGGAGCCGGAGTCGGAGAGATGGGATCCAGGGTTGGAGCCGGAGTCGGAGAGATGGGATGGGTCGGAAAACTGGGAGCCGGAGTCGGAGCTGGGGTCCGAAGGATGTGAGCCGGGGAAAGAAGCATTCGACTACACCTGCTGTCGCCGCGGTTTCGCTGCCATCTGTTATCGAGATGGCTCGCCTATTAGGTTTCATGCTGCACCTGACTAAGATAAAGAAAAAAACGGAACCCTATCTGCCATCGTTGCGCATACCAGATGGCACACGGGTGTTGCGCAGGAGTGTGCGCGTGCGGGTAGACACGAGAATTTGCGCAGGGGGGGGATCACCTGGGCTGCGTATGCGTCCGTAGAAGAAAAATTCCGTACGAGAGTACAGTCGGTGTGCAGGACAGAAATAAAAAAGTACTATACTTCAGTCGTAGTGCAGTAAAGAGCCTCCAGACCACCACGATCCATGTGGGATAAAGCTTGCATCAGGTCATCGCCAGGATAGCCATATTGGTTATCCTCCATCAATTCTACAGCAGTTTCCCTTCCTGCCGAATTGCGGGCCCACTCGCGGAAGTGCTGCACAGAACTCGAATGCGTACTGCGAAGACTGCCAGGTATATGGTGAGAAGCTACAAGGTTTTTCCTGTGCGTCCAAGAAGACTGCCAGATGTATACGTAGCATTCCGCAGTTGCGGATAAGAATGAGGGGGCGGCAAGGACGTCGGCAGTCTGCGAGGCCCGGAAGCAGCCCGCCGCAGGCGCCTAACTTTCACGAACCAAGCAAGCAGTGAGCCCGCCGCGGGCGCCGATTGTTTCGCTAAAGCAACGCGGGTGAGTCGCATGGCGAGTCGCGGGTGGGTCGCGGGTGGGTCGCGGGCCGGTCGCGGGCCGGGTCGCGTGTAGGTCGCGGTTGGGTCGCGGGTGGGTCGCGGGCGGGTGGCGGGCGGGTCGCGGGATGGATCGCGGGTGGGTCGCGGGTGGGTAGCGGAGTGGGTCGCGGGTGGTCGCGGTTGGGTCGCGGGCGGGTCACGGGGTGGGTCGCGGGTGGGTCGCGGGCCAGGTCGCGGGAAGGACGACACAATAACATTAACAACAACAAAAACAACAACAACAACAACAACAACAACAACAACAACAACAACAACAACAACAACAACCATTTTAAGGCTGTACGCTCTTACTTGCCCGCGAGTCATTCAACACGTATACCCTACACCCTCGAAGCCCGCCCTCTTCGTCTTCGATCACACCCCTTTCGGGGGGATTATTTCTCTTTGCTGGGGCCGGCGGGCTTAGACGTACGGGCAAACCGGAACGGGCGGACAATCCTTCGGGGGCGTACATCTCTCTGCCCGCCATTGGAATTGGCGCGGGCCCTGCAAGAGGAGGAGGGGAAGAACGAGGGAGAGTGGGAGGAAGGGGAGGGGGAAGGACGAAGGAAGAGGGAAGATACCACGTTGTGAAGGCGTCCTTGGCGCGTGCGTGGTTCCTGAGCGCCGAAACGCAATTCCAGAATAATTTGTGAGGACGTCGCACGCGAGAGCGCAGTCCTGAGTACATTGTGAGGAAATCTCGGGCGGGAGCGGGGGCCCTGACTAAGTTGCGAGGAAGTCTCAAGCGGGAGCGCCGTTCCTGAGCAAATTGCACGGAAGTCTCAGGCGGGAGCGGGGGTCCTCACTAAATTGCGAGGAAGTCTCAGGCGGGAGCGCCGTTCCTGAGTCAATTGCGCGGAAATGTCAAGCAGGAGCGGGGGTCCTGATTAAAATTCGAAGAAGTCTCAAGCGGGAGCGCCGTTCCCACGTAAATTGCACGGAAGTCTCAGGCAGGAGCGGGGGTCTTGATTACATTGCGAGGAAGTCTCAGACGGGAGCGCCTTTCCTGAGTAAATTGCGCGGAAGTCTCAGGCGGGAGCGGGGGTCCTGAGTAAAAATCGAGGAAGTCTCAGGCGGGAGCCGTTGTTGTTGTAGCCCGGGGGGCAGGGGCACAGTTTGAGCAGGAAGACTTTCCTTGAGAAAAAACAAGGTGCGAGCCCCGGGGGTGGCACTTCAATCGAAAAAAATCAATGTGCACCGGTGGGGGGGGATCAACAATAATTATTCTTCAAGAATGAGAGTTCAACAACAACAACAACAACAACAATCACTTTACCCGAACGCTCAGTGTTCTCACCAGTGCCAGGGTTTTCATGCGACGCCAGCCAATACCCCCACTTTGTGGGGGGGCAGTGCAAGCTCTACCAAATATCCACACGACTCTTCGCCACCACCCACACCCAGCTTCCCGCCCTATGACGTTCGGACACTTCACTTCGTGGCCTGCGGACGACCGTGGCTACTACACTGGCGTGGAGTACACACCCACAGAAGTTGTTAAGCCTACGTTTTTGGAGATTTCGGCGTGCGCGCGCGAAGAAAAAACGAATGTGTCCCGCATGGTATTATTTGACAGGGATGATGGCCCTGGCAGGTGCGCAACCGTTGTCGCAGAAGTTCGAAAAAGTTGCTCGCAAAAGCCCGTTTGACAGAAATGTTTAAAAAGTGTTGGGTTTCCTACGAATCCGCAAGAGCGCGCGGGATGAGATTTTGACATTTTTTTGTTGAAAAACCATTGGTTTTTTGATGTTTTTATGTTAAAATCGCTGCGAACACTAAGGTTTTGGAAGGATTTCGTCTTGCGCGCGCGAATGTCCACTTTACCTTATTTTTTGCAAGGGATTCTTGAAATTTGATTATATTAGAACAAGAAATGTCATTTTCTATTGTTTTTTGCCAGGGAAAGCGGATTACAACAAAACAACCGGATCCTGTACACACCCTCTTTTCTCAGGCTTCCTCACGAAAATGATGAAAATGTAGCTGCGGCCTAGGCGGCGCAGGGGGGGCGCGCACCAGGGGGCCCAACAATAATTATTCTTTAGAATAAATAATGTTCAACAACAAGGCGAAAACACACACTGGTGCCCGGGACCCAAGTCACCAGGTCGCGTTTTCGCCACCGGGGCGAAAACTCACACTGGTGCCACCCAGTTGCTGACCCCCCCCCAGCAACACGGCAACACAACAACACTGCAACACAGCACCGAACACAGCAAAAACAAGGATCCCGCCCTTACGGTTGTCGGTCTCCCCAGCAGGAACAAGCATACACGCTGCGTGGAGCCGAGTTCCCACAGCGGCTTCCAGTGGTGGGGAACACTGGTAGTCGTGAGGCAGTCGTGGTCATTGTACGTGACGTCCTCGTACTAGTACTACCAGTACTAGTCCAGGTTGAAGTACTACTAGCAGTAGCACTAATAAGAATAATAGTTTTAGTTGTTATTGTCCTGGTAGGGCGTAAAACGAAGTAGTAGAACAAGTATTAGCAGAGGTGCTCCTAGCAGCAGTAGTAGTAGCAGCAGTGGTTGTAGCAGCAGTAGTAGCAGTAGTAGTGGTACGAGTGGAAGTAATAGTAGTGGTAGTAGTCGTAGCAGAAGGAATCGTAGTAGACGTAGTAGTCGTGGTAGTAGTAGTAGTAGTAGTAGTAGTAGTAGTAGCAGCAGCAGGAGCAGCGGTAGTAGTAGTAGTAGTAGTAGTAGTGGTAGTAGTAGTAGTAGTAGTAGTAATGGTAATAGTAAGAGTAATAGTAATAGTGGTGGTAGTACTAGTAGTAGTAGTAGTAGTAGTAGTAGTAGTAGTAGTATTAATAGTAGGTAGTAGTAGTAGTAGTAGTAGTAGTAGTAATAGTAGTAGTAGTAGTAGTAGTAGTAGTAGTAGTAGTAGTAGTAGTAGTAGTAGTGGTAGTAGTAGTCACCGTAGCAGATGGTGCAGTAGTAATAGTAGTAGTCGTAATAATAGTAGTCGTCGTCTTACTAGATGGATCAGTCGTAGTAGTAGTAGTCGTCGTAGTAGTCGTAATAGTAGAAGTAGTAGCAGTAGTAGTAAGAATAGTAGCAGTAATAGTAGTAGTAGTAGTAGTAGTAGTAGTAGTAGTAGTAGTAGTAGTAGTAGTAACAATCGTGAAAGCAGTAGTCGTAGCAGCAGCAGCCGTAGCAGTAGTAACACTACTACTACTACTACTACTACTACGACGACTACTACGACTACTACTACTACTACTACTACTACTACGAATATTAGTAGTGATGGTAATAGTCGTAAGTAGTACTAGTAGGGTAAGTAGGTAGTAGTAGTGGTAGTAGTAGTAGCAGTAGTAGTAGTAGTAGTAGGAACAGAAATAGTAGTAGTAGTAGCAGCAGCAGCAGCAGCGGTAGTAGTAGTGGTGGTAGTAGTAGTAGCAGTAGTAGTAGTAGTAGTAGTAGTAGTAGTAGTAGTAGTAGTAATAGTAGTAGTAGTAGTAGTAATAGTAGTAGTAGTAGTAGTAATAGTAAGTAGCAGTAAGTACATGGAAGGAGATGGATAAGCCCCTTACGTGGGGCAACAAAACGTGTGACGGTGCCGAAATCGACCACCCTAGGCTCTTTTTCGAGCTACGACATGCGTGAAGATTGTAAGTAGATGGGCGCGAGGCCTTCGGGCGAACCCCCTCGTAGGGCCACGAAACGTGTGATGGGTGCGCCGAAAGCAACCCGATGCCTTCACCTGTGCTACCACGGCATGGGTGAGGTTGTACTGAAAATCGCGTGAAACTTTCGCTGAAGCACAATGTGGGGCCACGAAACGTGAGGGGTGCGCTAACACTGGCCGAGTGGAGCCATCTTATGTGGGACCACGAAACGTGTCAGGGGTGCGCCGAAATCGACCCGAAGCCCTCGGTGTAGCCCCTTCGTCGTACCACGGGATGTGTGATGTTGTGTTGGAAATGGCCTGAGGCGTTCGCTGAAACCCCTTTTCGGGACCACGAAACGTGTGAGGTGGGCGCCGAAATCGGCCAAAAGCCCTCGGTGGAGCCCCTTGGTTGTACCACGGAATGTGTGACGTTGTGTTGGAAATGGCATGAGGCGTTCGCTGAAACCTCTGTGAGGGGTGCGCCGGCATCGATCCGAGGCCCTCGGCGGAACACCCCTCCCTTGTGGGGGCGCGAAGCGTACGAGGGTAGAAAAGAGCTGGTCCTGAGGCCGTCGGTGGAGCCACTGTGGTGGCCACGAAACGTGTCGGGGGTGCGCCGAAGTCGGCCCGAAAGCGTAGGAGAATCCCCCTTCGTGGGGCTGCGAAGCCACGGCGGGTTGTGCAGAAATATTGGCCCGGAGCCGTCGGCCGAGACATCTGAGGGGTGCGCCGAAATCGTTGCTCTGTTGCTCTGTTGCTGGGGGGGCTCTGATTCGGTTGTCTGCTGCGTCGCTCCTCTGTCGTCTGTTTCTCTGCTGCCGGGGGGGTGCGCTGTGGCTCTGTGGCTCTGTTGCTGGGTGGGAGGCTCTCTTGCGCTGTTGCGCTGTTGCTGTGTTGCCGTGTTGCTGTGTTGCTGGGGGGGCTCAGCCACCGGGCACCAGCGAGTGTTTTCGTCAACAACAACAACAACAACAACAACAACAACAACAACAACAACAACAACAATCATTTTGAGACTGTTCGCTCATGTCTGCTTACGTGCCAACCAATCCGTATATCCCAAACCCTCGGTACCCGCCCTCGTCTTCTTCGATCGTACCCCCTTGGGGGTATATCTTCCTTACCTGCCATGTGCATGTAGTGCAGCCTCTAAAACAAGGGAAGAGAAGACGGGTGGAACGGGGAGGGAGAAAAATTGGAGCATGAGAGAAATTAGAACGAGGGGGGCAAGGAGCAGAAAACAAGTGGCAGAACCAGACGGGCAGATCGGGTGGGCAGATTCATAGCTGGCAGGTCGGGAAGGTGGGCCCAGCCGACCAGGTCGAGCAGGCGGGTTGCTGAAGCGTGGCAGTCTTGCATGAATCGCGAGGAAGTCTCGAGCGATAGCGCGATTCCCAAGTAAATCGTAAGAAAAGCCAAAGCGAGTGTGATTCCTGAGCGCCGAGGGCGCATCGTCTGAATAAACTGCGAGGAAGTCCCACGCGAGAGCGCGATTCGTATAAAATTGTGAGGAAGTCTCGCGCGAGAGCGCGATTTAAGAATAAACTGTGAGGAAGTATCAGGCGGGAGCCGCTGTTGTTTTAAACCAGGGGCCAACAACCCAGTTTGAGCCCAGTGACTTTCCTTGATAAACAAAAAAAAAAAAAAAAAAAAAAAAAAAAAGGTGCGAGCCCCGGGGGAAGCACTTCAGTTGAAAAAGCACAGTGGTCACCGGAGGAGGGGATCATAATCAGTCTTCAGCAATGAGAGCCCAACAACAACAGCAGTCCGCACCGCAGAACCTCACCCCTGGGACAGTGAGCGACCGTTCGGCCCCCTCACTCTGATAAGGAGATGCTATCTCTTGCTTGATTGAAGTGGGAGCCCCGAGGAGGAGGCGGAGGAGGAGGAGGAGGAGGAGGAGGAGGAGGAGGGGGAGGAGGAGGAGGAGGAGGAGGAGGAGGAGGAGGAGGAGGGGGAGGGGGAGGAGGAGGAGGAGTAGGAGGAGGAGGAGGAGGAGGAGGAGGATGCTCTGATCAGGTCTGTCCTGCGCGTCGAGCTGCTCCTCTTGCCTGCCGCGGACCTGCACGCGCCCAACGCGCGTGCTGACGCCGCCCGGGAGGCCGCCGGCCTCCTGGGCTCCGCTGCCTCGCCCCGCGGGCTTCGGGAGTGGAAGCACTGACTGAAGGGGCCCCAGAACACACAAACAAATACTCCAGATTTCGTAATAAAAGGGAGGGGGTCTGGACCCTCCAAGACAAGCCATGTCAGACCCCCCCCCCGTGGGAGAACCCTCCAAAACATCGTCCCCAGACCCCCCCAGGCCCTCCAAGATAGCCTGGAAGAGACCCCCCCCCGAAATGAGACCCCCCTCCCTTTATTACGAAATCTGGAGTACACGCAAAAAAAAATATCCCCCATCTTTTCCTATATCTTCTGGGAGTCGACGATTCGTTGTGTCTGTGTGTGCTTTTCCCCCTCCTGACTGATGCCTGGCCGCTCGCGTCTCACATCGGACGCACACGGACATACTATGGGGCGCACAGAGACATACTGATACTGCATCTCCTCCTCGGAGACGCGCGTCCGCCCCGAACACCTAGCATGCCCATCTTGTCGTATGTCGCTTCCCGAGCGGTGTGGCCAAAAAGCGGCCCGCCACGACGCATATACTACAAGACTTCTCGGTGCGCGCGTCGCCCCTGGGGGCGCGACGCACACATAGCATAAGCATGTTGGGGTGGCGCCGATACTAGTACTATGTGTCCTCATCGCAGACGTGCGTCCGACCAGAACATATAGTACAACCATCTTCAAATACATCACTTCCCGAGCGGGGCGACCAGAGAGCGCCCGCCACTGAGCATATACGGTATACTACTAGATTCCTCGGGCGCGCTCGTCTCCCGTTTGGGTGACGCGGATCAAAGCAACAAGAAAGAGCAGGGTCGCAGTGCAAGGATGAAATGTCCTCCAAGGTACCCCGTAACGAACAACTGTCTGGAGGAATCCACTGGAACCCAACCCTTGCTCAGAACCAGGCCCACATGACAAACGCGGCCGGCTTACAAACATGTTCCTTGAAGGAAGAGGAGGAGGGGCATGAACGGACCGAGGCGGCGCGCCTTGTACAGCGCACAGCCCAGCATGAAGGCCACATCCGCCCATCTCTGCTGAGCCTTCTTCTTCTGCAGCCCATCATACCGCTCCTTGACCACGGGGGGAGCGGGATGAGATTCAACGGGCGAAGAACGGTATCAAGTCAACTTTTTCGCTGTCGGGAGCGCCTGTCCCAGGGCGGCTGGAAAGTTTATACCCTTACGGTACGGTGGCACCGTAGGGGTATAAACTTCCAGCCGCCCAGGGACAGGCGCCCCCGACAGCGCAAAAGTTTATTGTATACCGTTCTTCGCTCGCTGAGAGATCCACGATGGAACAAGCTACAGTCATCGTGCTACCGCAAGGAACGCTGAAGAAGGAACGAAGGGGCTAGTCTGACCACGGCGAGCCTTGGCCACGAATAGGATATCCGACCTGGCTCTAAGGAACGGCCAGGAAATCATGGTCCCTCCTGAGTCAAGCGCGCTCCCAATCTGCATCATCATCATCGTCATCGTCATCGTCATCGTCATCGTCATCGTCATCATCGTCATCGTCATCGTCATCGTCATCGTCATCGTCATCATCATCATCATCATCATCATCATCAGCATCATCATCATCATCACCATCACCATCACCATCACCATCATCATCATCATCATCATCATCATCATCATCAGCATCATCATCATCATTATTAATATTATTATTAATATTATCATGAGTGTCCTGACTGCATCTCAAGAAGAAGGCAGCACAAACACAGCCTGCCAGAGCCGCGATCCCCCTTCCGGCGCCGCCGCTAAGGCCGCGGGAAGGGGGGCCCAGCGCCAACCAGAGAAACCCGCTCCGACCTCTGAAAATGTATGGTTACGCGGATATTTGTTCCTCGGGGGGAGGAGGAGAAGGAGGAGGAGGAGGAGGAGGAGGAGGAGGAGGCGGAGGAGGAGGAGGAGGAGGAGGGGGATGATGATGATGATGATGATGATGATGATGATGATGATGGAGGAGGAGGAGGAGGAGGAGGAGGAGGAGGAGGGGGAGGAGGAGGAGGAGGAGGACGTGGAGGAGGAGGAGGACGTGGAGGAGGAGGAGGAGGAGGAGGAGGAGGAGGAGGACGTGGAGGAGGGGGAGGAGGAGGAGCGAGAACGACGAGGAGGAGCGAGAACGACGAGAACGAGGAGGAGGAGGAGGAAGAGGGGACGCACACACCACCACTGAACCTTCAACTTCGGGCGCTGCTGGATGCCAGAGCACCCTCGGAGCCGCGCAGCCTGAGCCTCGCGGCTCCCGGGCGCACAGGGCAGAGCCCCCGAGCGCAGCGCCCCCCACGCAGGAGCCGCCGACGCAGGCGGGGCGGGGCCTCACGCCAGGCCGCGGAGGCCCAGGGCACGGGCCCCCGTGCCGAGGCGAGCTCGTGCCGAGGAGGAGGAGGAGGAGGAGGAGGAGGAGGAGGAGGAGGAGGAGGAGGAGGAGGAGGAGGAGGAGGAGGAGGCGGCGTCCTGCGCGTCGGGCTCCGACACCACGCGCGGAGCGCTCGACCCCGGGGGCGGGCGGCGGCACGCGGCTCGCCAGGCCCTTCTCCAGCGGTGGCCGCTTCTGGGCACTTGGCCTCGGGAGCGGCCAGGAGGGGGGTGCCCAAGAGGGGGGGGGTGCAAGTCATGACCGGCGGCACGTGCGCGGCCCAGCGGGGGGGGGGCCAGGGGACGTCATGAAACCAGAAGAGGCGCCGTCAAATCTGGGGAAATATCATGGCCCGCGCCATGACATCCACCCCCCCCCTAGTCATCACCCCCCTCTTGGCCGCCCCCGATAGCGGCGCTCAACCCTGGAACGCCCGCGACGGGGTCGCGGCGAGTCGGCACGACGCGAACCTGCCGGTTCCGCTGGCTGCTGCAGCCGGAGGGCTCCGACTCCAGCACCGGCCTTGGCCAGACCAGGATCTGGGCTGGTGCGCAGCCTGCGCTCACAGAGCACCTGGAGGAGGGCACTCGGCGCGCCAGAGCTCTGTCATCCAACCTCCCCTGGTGAGTCACTGATCCACGTGGCGAAACCCTCGCAAACTGAATCGTCCACACGCGAACATACAAATCAAAAGATTAGCCGGAGCGCCCGAGAGGGGCTGACGCAAACTGGCCAATCCTCCCAGGCGGCGGTCGGTCTCACGCCCGTGGGCAGCAGCCGGGGCCGTCACACCAAGACGCTGTGATTGGTCTGGCTGCGCGCCTGAAGCGACGAGCAGTCAGGACGGAGGAGCTCTCAGAAAGGGTGGTCCGCACCACAACCCCCAGAGCTTGAGGAAAGGGAACTATGCACATACACCGATTCTGGCCAGGCCCAACCCTGAGCCCAGGATCGGTGCATACGCCCTCTTACCTTGGCTAGGAAGGTATATGAACCGATCCTGGGTCAAGGATGGGCGTTGTCAGGATCGGTGCATTACATAATTCTCTTCGCCCGAAGAGCTGACACCGTGCCAATGACAACACATCGCCCACAGGCCGCAGAAGAGCCGTGCCCCCGCCGGGAGGGCGGACGAGTTCTGCCGCCCAGCGGGCGCGAACCTGCCCCCCGAGTTCGGCGGAGGCGCTCGCGCATGGTATCTGCCAGGCGGGCAAGAGCCAGCCTCCACGCCGCGATACGGTTGGCACTCGACCCGAGCCCACGGGGACAGAGCACGTGCACCCCGCGACCCGCCGACAGCCTCGGGGGCGCGCAAGCATGGATTAGCGATCCGTGGATGTGGCGCGCCGCCGCCAAAGCCATGGATCGGGGGAGGCGCCCTCCCCAAAGTGCGGCCCGTGCCGCCCAATGCGGCGGCGACAATCCGCGACTTCCCCCATGGAAACGGGATCCGTCGCTAATCCACGCCCCCTGAATCCATGTTTGCGATCGCCTGGCTCCGCCCCGAACCTCGATCTGCTGATCGGAAAGCGAGGAGGAGGAGGGAGGAAGAGGAGGAGGAGGAGGAGGAGGAGGAGGAGGAAGAGGAGGAGGAGGAGAGGAGGAGGAGGAGGAGGGGGGAGGAGGAGGGAGGAGGAGGAGAGGAGGAGGAGGAGGAGGAGGAGGAGGAGGAGGAGGAGGAGGAGGAGGAGGAGGAGGAGGAGGAGGAGGAGGAGGAGGAGGAGGAGGAGGAGGAGTTGCGCAGACGACGGAAGATACGGGCAGCCATGCACTCCGACGGCCGCACCCACACCGCACGGCCGACCGCAGCAGCGCTCTCTCTCTCGCGGCCCACGCCGGGCGCCTTTTCCGATCCCTCTCCGCTCTCCTCTCCCTTCCCTCTCCTCCCCCTCCCTCCCTCCTTCCTCCTCTCCTCCTCCTCATCCTCCTCCTCCCCTCCTCCCTCCTCCCTCCTCCTCCTCCTCCTCCTCCTCCTCCTCCCCTCCCCTCCTCCTCCCCCCTCCTCCTCCCCCCTCCTCCGAACCCCCTGCACTCCGCAGCTGCTTCCCGGCCTCCACCGTGTAAAGCCTTGGACAAAGGGGCCCCAGAAATACAAAGATCCCCCAGATTTTCCCATATTTTTGGGGGGGTTCTTCTTCCCCCCCCCCCCTGCCCATATTTTCCTATATTCTCTGAGGATTCGACGATTCGTTGTGTCTGTGTGTGTTTTTGTCCCCTCCTGATTTGGACCGAGCAGGCGGGGGGGGGGGGCTCCAGCCCGCCGGCGGGCCGGCTGGCCGGGCCCCGCCCGTGCTCTGGCCAGCGCGCAGCACGTCGGCGCCCTCTTTTGCCGGCCTCCCCTTCCCCAAAGTCAGGAGCGGCCAAGAGGGGGGTGTCCAAGAGGGGGGGTGCAAATCATGGCCGGCGGCATGTGCGCGGCCAAGCGGGGGGGCCTGGGACGTAATGAAATAAGAAGAGGCGCCATGAAATCTGCGGAGATATCATGGCCCGCGCCATGATATCCACCCCCCCCTAGTCATCACCCCCCTCTTTTCCGCCCCCGACAAAGATCCGACGCCGTGATTTGTTCCACGCGTGGCCCCCAGAAGTCTCCACCGATTCCTGGCGGCGCGCACAAGGGGGTGGGGGGAGGGGGGGGGCTTCTTAGAAGCAGGTTGCTTCTAAGAAGCCCCCCCCCCACCCCCCTCTGCGCGTGGCTGAGATTCCCCGGGACCGGCTTTTCATCCCGAGTCGTTTTGTTCACGGTCCCGAGGCCCGGCGAGGGCCTCCAAGGGCCGAAATGTATGGAAAACCTTCGTCTTGATTTTTTCAATACGTTGGATCTCTGGGTCTTTGTCCTCATCATCCTCGTGCTCCTGCTCCTGCTCCACCCCCCCTCGTCCTTCGCACCTCCCTCACCGCGCAAGAAAGCTGCGGCCAGAGCTGCCTTCAGGATGCTGAAGGTGTTGAAGGCCAGAGTCAGCCTGCCTCCGCTGGCGTACGCATCCCCGAGGCCCCACATGGCCTCGTCGTCCTCCGGAGGAAGAGAAACAGGAGGGAGAACCAGGGCAGGCGGACAAGAAGGAGAAACAAAACAACCACAGGATGGGGAACTATGCAAAGACCCGCAGCAACAGCACGAGCGAAATGTTGAGGATGAAAAGGAACAGCCGCAACGGAGAGCAGGTGGAGGAGGCTTGGGGAGGAGCAACACCACACGGAGGGGGCAGTGGGAGGCAGGCGCAGCACCGAAGCTCGTCGGCGACTCGCGACGTCCCAGCAAAGGCGCCGACCCAGCTCCCCCGCGCACCACGCAGGACGGGTTGCATAATGTGCGGGGCCATCGAATGATCTTCCTGGCCGTTTTGTATCCATGTTGCGCAATATGTGTGGTGCAGTCTACGTGGTGCAACTCACTTGCCGAACTTGAAGCTGTCAACTCCACTGCTCGCGCAATCATCCCACCCACCCACCCGCAACTTGGTTTGCAAAACCCATGCGGGACCGAGCACAGATATCACTCCGGGGTCGTCTTGGAGCCCTCGGGAGCGGCTCAAGAGCGCCCCAAGAAGGCCGGAGAAGCAAGACGGCCGACGACGACGACGACGACGACGACGACGACGACGATGGCGGCGACGACGACGACGACGCCGACGACGACGACGACGACGAAGACGACGACGCCAACGCCGACGACGACGACGAAGACGACGACGACGTCGCCAACGAAGACGACGACGAGGGAGGAGGGAGGACGACGACGCCGACAACGACGACAACGACGACAACGACGACAACGACGGAGGAGGGAGGACGGCGACGACACCGACGACGACGACGACGCCGACGACGACGACGACGAGGGAGGAGGGAGGATGACGACGGCGACAACGACGACAACGACGACAACGACGACAACGACGAGGGAGGAGGGAGGACGGCGACGACGCGAAGGACGAAGAAGGAGGAATGACGGCGACGCCGACGACGACAACGACGAGGGAGGAGGGAAGACGACGACGAGACGACGACGACAACGACGACGACGACGACGGCGACGAAATGGAAGGACGACGACGAGACGCCAACGACGGACGACGACGACGACGACGACGACGACGAGGGAGGAGGAAGGACGACCACGGCGACAACGACGACGGAAACGACCACGACGCCAAAGAGGACGACGACGACGAACACGAGGACAGACACAGGACGACGTAGGCGACGACGACGACGACGACGCGGGAGGAGGGAGGACGGCGACGACGACGGCGACGACGACGACGACGCCGCAAGAGCGCGCGCGCACGCTTTTGTTGAAAATCCGTGTTGCGAAACCTTGTGTTTTCGTATGTTTTTTGGACACACGATTTTGAAATCCTTCCGAAACCGATGGGTTTCGAAGGATTTCGGCAGACGCGCGCGACGACGCGCGCGTCTGCACTTCGTCTCATTTTTTGCAGAGGATTCTCGCGACGGCACACGCGCAAGGGCGTTCGACAGATTTCGACATGCGCGCGCGACGCCCGTTTGGTAGCATATTGTGAAAATGTTGAAAAACCCAGATTTCGCAGGAGCTCGCGCGTAACAGTTCTGTAGGAAATCAGTGTTGCGAAACCCTGTGCTTTCGGTATGTTTTTTGGGGGGAATCTCGATTGCGAAATCCTTCCAGCACCGAAGGTTTATGAAGGATTTCGGCATGCGCGCGCGACGACGCGCGCGTGTGCACTTCGTCCCATTTGTTGCAAGGGAATCGTGAGAAAAGTGTTATGCTAGAAAAAAATGTCACCGCATAGTGTTTTTGTACCAGGGAACCTCAGGGGGGAACCGGGTTGGCCTGGGACATTGCGATTTCACATTTCCGGATGGTCATGTGGTCAAAATCCTATGTGATTCACATACCCGAAAGGGGTAGCGATAACGCCGGGGGGGGTAGAGTCTATTCTTTCCTTAGAAAGGAGAATCTACGTGGTGCATCATCCGTGGTGCAATCTCATCCACGCGGTGCAACTCACCCTGCTGAATCCGAAGCTGTCCTCGCGCAATCATCCCACCCACCTACCCGCAATCTGGTTTGCAGGACCCCCGCGGCGGCGACTGCGATGACTGTTTGGGGCTGGCTGGTGCATCGCTGCGGCCGCGCTGGCGCGCGCATGCTCGGGCGCCGAGCGGCCTGCTAGTCTCGCGCGACCGACGCGGCCGCGGTGGCGCTGACCTCTGGGCGCTTCCCAGCGCGTCTCGCAGGCCGCGGTGACGCGCGGGCACTTCAGCGCGACGCGGTGGCTCGGGCGAACGCGGCGGCGGCGCCGACAACGGCAGACACGATGGCGAGAGCAGCGATGCTGGTGACGACGACGACGGTGACGACGGCAAGGCCAATGACGACGCCGATGCTGATCACACAGGTGGCGATGATGGTCTCCACGTCTCGGCGATGAACGTTTTGGGCGGCTTCCGACTTGCGCGCGCAGCCGACAGACGCGAGCGGCCCGCATGATACGATGTGACGGGGATCGCGCCCGCCCCCAGCACGCGCGCAAGGGCGGTCGAATGATTTCGGCTTGCGCACGTGCGAGAGGCCCGCTTGGTCGCATTAGATGCAGAGTGCTGGGAACAAAACGTCGGGCTCGCTTTTGTAGAATGCGCAAAGGCGGAGATCTTTTTTCTGACAGAATATGTGGCCAAACCATGTGTTTGGTGTGTTCCAGGACGCTCGATTCCGAGTTCCCTCCGGAACCTCAGGTGCGTGTGAAAAATTTCGGCCGGCGCGCGCGACGACGCGGGCGTGGGTCTTCTTCCCACGTTCTGCAAGGAAGTTTGCAAGCGGATGGGCTGTGATGAACCAGTGCGCGAGCATAGTGTCACTTGAAGAATATGATAAGGGGGGAACCTGGCCTCGCTGGGATGGTGCGTTCATACTTAGAACGAACGATAGGGCAGAATCCGCCGACCCTGTCGGCGCGTGGGGTGTCTGTCCGGCCCCGTCGCCGGGGAGCCTTCTTTCGCCCCATCCTCCCCATCATCCTCTCGCGTCGGGGAGAGAGAGAGAGAGAGAGAGAGAGAGAGAGAGAGAGAGAGAGAGAGAGAGAGAGAGAGAGAGAGAGAGAGAGAGAGAGAGAGAGACCATCATCCTCTCGCGTCGGAGAGAGAGAGAGAGAGAGAGAGAGAGAGAGAGAGAGAGAGAGAGAGAGAGAGAGAGAGAAAAAAAAAAACAAAGAGAGAGAGAGAGAGAGAGAGAGAGAGAGAGAGAGAGAGAGAGAGCACACTTCCTCGTTCGGGGAACGGGTTCGCAGCGTTGAAGAATTCCATCCACGTCCTCATTTCACGTCAAAGGGAAGCCTCTTCCCTTTGTCCCTTCCCCGGCAAAGGGGGGGCGGGTCCCAGGGGGGGGAGGGTCAAATTCGCATGGCCTCTGGGGGTCCTCCTCTCCCACGCCGGTCCTTTTCCGGCGCGCAGGAGGTCCTCCTCGGGTCCTCCCGGGCCATTGGGGCTGGCCGCCGCGGCATTAAGGCCGTGCACCACTACCTCTTGGTCAGGGGGCCCAACGTCAACGCTAATGTTCAGGGCTGACGCGATGGCCTCCTCCGCAGGAGGGCAAACTTCGCCTCGGGGCCCGCCTTGGCCGTCCGAGCTCGGCAAGTTCGGGACCGAACGGAGAGCCTGCAGCGGGATACGTAGATGGGTCGGTATCTGCGAGCTGGGCATACAGTGCGACGCAGGAGTCGAAGAATTCAGTCATGTCATACTCAATGACCCTGGCCTGTTTGGGTTCTCTAGGCTGGTATGGCTCAGGCGGCTGGGCCGCTGAGTCACCCCCCGTTTCCTCTTCAGCGCTCTCGTCTGGGACGGATGCGTTCTTCTTAACTTTGGGAGGCAGCGGGTCCAGCATCGAAGGCAACTCACCTTGCCACTCGACAAGCTGCGTGGATAGCCGGTGTTCGCATCCCAAATAGCGTCCGACAGCGGTCGGAGGGCCCATCTAAACCTTTGGGGCAGTTGGGAGACGGGGATTGCAACAGCTTCCATCATTGAGCTAACTTGTCGGCAGGACCTGCCAGCTTGAAGTCATCAACGTAGATAATCAAGAAGAGTTCCAACTCAGTGTGAAAATAGCAGCTGCGCCACTGACTACACTTCACAAAGCCGTTGGCCGTGACATGCCCTTCGCAATGCTGCCCCCAATGCCCCCCTGAATCAGGGTGTCCATATAGAGATAAAATCAATGGGCATACGGGATTGCGCATACGCGACAAGGACTCAGGCCACTCTCCACGGGGCAGGAACACCCATGTCGGGGTACCGCCCAGCTTGGATTGAGCGTAGGCCTGACGGGCGTCGGCTTGTTCAATGCTATGACCGTCAAAGAGTCCGTAGGTATCGGCTGATTTGCTAGCCTGCGTGGTAGCAGGGCTGCTGGAAAGCTCCTTAAACAAAGCCACATATTTATTATGATCTCTTACGCTGGAGCCGTCAAAGACGACCTGGCCCTTAAACTTACGATCTTGATGCCCTAGCGGCAACTCGGACTTCTTTTCTACAAGGGTTGCGAACAGACGACCAAAGTGCGCAGTCTTCCCTTTGAGGTACGCAACAACATCGGCGTATTATTTGGCGCCTTTCTCATTCCATGTGCCTATCTCTCGCAATATGCCCCATTTGTTCCTCAAAAGGGCCTTGGCATCTTGCTTAGCCTGGGCTTCGACTTTGGAAACAGATCGCGCAACAGCGGCATCAATCCGAGTCTGTCGCCATTAATTGGGAAGTTGAAAGGGCTCTTCCACCACTGTGATAAGATCAGTGAAAGGGTTGCACAGGTAATCCAAGTCAAATATTTCCTTTCCTCGGTGACCTGGCATTGGGGCAGAGCTATTCTGCAACGGCATCCGAGGCGCGCTACGCCGCGATGCGGCGGCCGCCGGACTCAAGGTCTGGCTCGCCTCCTGCGTCACCTCAGACTCCGCGTCAGATAATGGACCCCTACCGACTTGACCAAAGGGATCGCCATCACGCGCGATGGCACCACCGCACCAA